AGAGGTAGACCAAGCCTAAAGTTAAGATAGAGGTAGACCAAGCCTAAAGTTAAGATAGAGGTAGACCAAGCCTAAAGTTAAGACAGAGGTAGACCAAGCCTAAAGTTAAGACAGAGGTAGACCAAGCCTAAAGTTAAGACAGAGGTAGACCAAGCCTAAGGTTAAGACAGAGGTAGACCAAGCCTAAAGTTAAGACAGAGGTAGACCAAGCCTAAAGTTAAGATAGAGGTAGACCAAGCCTAAGGTTAAGACAGAGGTAGACCAAGCCTAAGGTTAAGATAGAGGTAGACCAAGCCTAAGGTTAAGATAGAGGTAGACCAAACATAAGGTTAAGATAGAGGTAGACCAAACCTAAGGTTAAGATAGAGGTAGACCAAGCCTAAAGTTAAGCCAGAGGTAGACCAAGCCTAAAGTTAAGATAGAGGTAGGCCAAGCCTAAAGTTAAGATAGAGGTAGACCAAACCTAAAGTTAAGATAGAGGTAGACCAAACCTAAAGTTAAGATAGAGGTTGATCAAGTCTAAAGTTAAGATAGAGGTAGAACAAGCCTAAGGTTAAGATAGAGGTTGATCAAGTCTAAAGTTAAGACAGAGGTAGACCAAGCCTAAGGTTAAGACAAGTAGCCTAAGCCTAAGGTTAAGACAGAGGTAGACGAAGTCTAAGGTTAAGACAGAGGTAGACCAAGCCTAAGGTTAAGACAGAGGTAGACTAAGCCTAAGGTTAAGACAGAGGTAGACCAAGTCTAAGGTTAAGACAGAGGTAGACCAAGCCTAAGGTTAAGACAGAGGTAGACCAAGCCTAAGGTTAAGACAGAGGTAGACCAAGCCTAAGGTTAAGACAGAGGTAGACCAAGCCTAAGGTTAAGACAGAGATAGACCAAGCCTAAGGTTAAGACAGAGGTAGACCAAGTCTAAGGCTAAGACAGAGGTAGACCAAGCCTAAGGTTAAGACAGAGGTAGACCAAGCCTAAGGTTAAGACAGAGGTAGACCAAGCCTAAGGTTAAGACAGAGGTAGACCAAGCCTAAGGTTAAGACAGAGGTAGACCAAGCCAAAGGTTAAGACAGAGGTAGACCAAGCCTAAGGTTAAGACAGAGGTAGACCAAGCCTAAGGTTAAGACAGAGGTAGACCAAGCCTAAGGTTAAGACAGAGGTAGACCAAGTCTAAGGTTAAGACAGAGGTAGACCAAGCCTAAGGTTAAGACAGAGGTAGACCAAGCCTAAAGTTAAGATAGAGGTAGACCAAGCCTAAAGTTAAGATAGAGGTAGACCAAGCCTAAGGTTAAGATAGAGGTAGGCCAAGCCTAAAGTTAAGATAGAGGTAGACCAAACCTAAAGTTAAGATAGAGGTTGATCAAGTCTAAAGTTAAGATAGAGGTAGAACAAGCCTAAAGTTAAGATAGAGGTAGACCAAACCTAAAGTTAAGATAGAGGTTGATCAAGTCTAAAGTTAAGATAGAGGTAGAACAAGCCTAAGGTTAAGATAGAGGTTGATCAAGTCTAAAGTTAAGACAGAGGTAGACCAAGCCTAAGGTTAAGACAAGTAGCCTAAGCCTAAGGTTAAGACAGAGGTAGACGAAGTCTAAGGTTAAGACAGAGGTAGACCAAGCCTAACGTTAAGACAAAGGTAGACCAAGCCTAAGGTTAAGACAGAGGTAGACCAAGCCTAAGGTTAAGACAGAGGTAGACCAAGCCTAAGGTTAAGACAGAGGTAGACCAAGTCTAAGGTTAAGACAGAGGTATACCAAGTCTAAGGTTAAGACAGAGGTAGACCAAGCCTAAGGTTAAGACAGAGGTAGACCAAGCCTAAGGTTAAGACAGAGGTAGACCAAGCCTAAGGTTAAGACAGAGGTAGACCAAGTCTAAGGTTAAGACAGGTAGACCAGGCCTAAGGTTAAGACAGAGGTAGACCAAGCCTAAGGTTAAGACAGAGGTAGACCAAGCCTAAGGTTAAGACAGAGGTAGACCAAGCCTAAGGTTAAGACATAGGTAGACCAAGCCTAAGGTTAAGACATAGGTAGACCAAGTCTAAGGTTAAGACAGAGGTAGACCAAGTCTAAGGTTAAGACAGAGGTAGACCAAGCCTAAGGTTAAGACAGAGGTAGACCAAGTCTAAGGTTAAGACAGAGGTAGACCAAGTCTAAGGTTAAGACAGAGGTAGACCAAGCCTAAGGTTAAGACAGAGGTAGACCAAATCTAAGGTTAAGACAGAGGTAGACCATGTCTAAGGTTAAGATAGAGGTAGACCAAGCCTAAGGTTAAGACAGAGGTAGACCAAGTCTAAGGTTAAGACAGAGGTAGACCAAGCCTAAGGTTAAGACAGAGGTAGACCAAGCCTAAGGTTAAGACAGAGGTAGACCAACCCTAAGGTTAAGACAGAGGTAGACCAAGTCTAAGGTTAAGACAGAGGTAGACCAAGTCTAAGGTTAAGACAGAGGTAGACCAAGCCTAAGGTTAAGACAGAGGTAGACCAAGCCTAAGGTTAAGACAGAGGTAGACCAAGTCTAAGGTTAAGACAGAGGTAGACCAAGTCTAAGGTTAAGACAGAGGTAGACCAAGCCTAAGGTTAAGACAGAGGTAGACCAAGTCTAAGGTTAAGACAGAGGTAGACCAAGCCTAAGGTTAAGACAGAGGTAGACCAAGCCTAAGGTTAAGACAGAGGTAGACCAAGCCTAAGGTTAAGACAGAGGTAGACCAAGTCTAAGGTTAAGACAGAGGTATACCAAGTCTAAGGTTAAGACAGAGGTAGACCAAGCCTAAGGTTAAGACAGAGGTAGACCAAGCCTAAGGTTAAGACAGAGGTAGACCAAGTCTAAGGTTAAGACAGAGGTAGACCAAGTCTAAGGTTAAGAGAGGTAGACCAGGCCTAAGGTTAAGACAGAGGTAGACCAAGCCTAAGGTTATGACAGAGGTAGACCAAGCCTAAGGTTAAGACAGAGGTAGACCAAGTCTAAGGTTAAGACAGAGGTATACCAAGTCTAAGGTTAAGACAGAGGTAGACCAAGCCTAAGGTTATGACAGAGGTAGACCAAGCCTAAGGTTAAGACAGAGGTAGACCAAGCCTAAGGTTAAGACAGAGGTAGACCAAGCCTAAGGTTATGACAGAGGTAGACCAAGCCTAAGGTTAAGACAGAGGTAGACCAAGCCTAAGGTTAAGACAGAGGTAGACCAAGCCTAAGGTTAAGACAGAGGTAGACCAAGTCTAAGGTTAAGACAGAGGTAGAACAAGCCTAAGGTTAAGACAGAGGTAGACCAAGCCTAAGGTTAAGACAGAGGTAGACCAAGCCAAAGGTTAAGACAGAGGTAGACCAAGCCTAAGGTTAAGACAGAGGTAGACCAAGTCTAAGGTTAAGACAGAGGTAGAACAAGCCCAAGGTTAAGACAGAGGTAGACCAAGCCTAAGGTTAAGACAGAGGTAGACCAAGCCTAAGGTTAAGACAGAGGTAGACCAAACCTAAGGTTAAGACAGAGGTAGACCAAGCCTAAGGTTAAGACAGAGGTAGACCAAGCCTAAGGTTAAGACAGAGGTAGACCAAGCCTAAGGTTAAGACAGAGGTAGACCAAGCCTAAGGTTAAGACAAGTAGCCTAAGCCTAAGGTTAAGACAGAGGTAGACCAAGCCTAAGGTTAAGACAGAGGTAGACCAAGTCTAAGGTTAAGACAGAGGTAGACCAAGCCTAAGGTTAAGACAGAGGTAGACCAAGCCTAAGGTTAAGACAGAGGTAGACCAAGCCTAAGGTTAAGACAGAGGTAGACCAAGCCTAAGGTTAAGACAGAGGTAGACCAAGTCTAAGGTTAAGACAGAGGTAGAACAAGCCTAAGGTTAAGACAGAGGTAGACCAAGCCTAAGGTTAAGACAGAGGTAGACCAAGCCAAAGGTTAAGACAGAGGTAGACCAAGCCTAAGGTTAAGACAGAGGTAGACCAAGTCTAAGGTTAAGACAGAGGTAGAACAAGCCCAAGGTTAAGACAGAGGTAGACCAAGCCTAAGGTTAAGACAGAGGTAGACCAAGCCTAAGGTTAAGACAGAGGTAGACCAAGCCTAAGGTTAAGACAGAGGTAGACCAAGCCTAAGGTTAAGACAGAGGTAGACCAAGCCTAAGGTTAAGACAGAGGTAGACCAAGCCTAAGGTTAAGACAGAGGTAGACCAAGCCTAAGGTTAAGACAGAGGTAGACCAAGCCTAAGGTTAAGACAAGTAGCCTAAGCCTAAGGTTAAGACAGAGGTAGACCAAGCCTAAGGTTAAGACAGAGGTAGACCAAGTCTAAGGTTAAGACAGAGGTAGACCAAGCCTAAGGTTAAGACAGAGGTAGACCAAGCCTAAGGTTAAGACAGGTAGACCAAGCCTAAGGTTAAGACAGAGGTAGACCAAGCCTAAGGTTAAGACAGAGGTAGACCAAGCCTAAGGTTAAGACAGAGGTAGACCAAGCCTAAGGTTAAGACAGAGGTAGACCAAGCCTAAGGTTAAGACAGGTAGACCAAGCCTAAGGTTAAGACAAGTAGCCTAAGCCTAAGGTTAAGACAGAGGTAGACCAAGCCTAAGGTTAAGACAGAGGTAGACCAAGCCTAAGGTTAAGACAGAGGTAGACCAAGTCTAAGGTTAAGACAGAGGTAGACCAAGCCTAAGGTTAAGACAGAGGTAGACCAAGCCTAAGGTTAAGACAGAGGTAGACCAAGTCTAAGGTTAAGACAGAGGTAGACCAAGTCTAAGGTTAAGAGGTAGCCTAAGGTCCCGGGGGTGTTAGTGTGGTGTACGGCAGCACTGGGCGCCGGGGGAGACCTTCAAGTTTCACCCACAGTTACTCCCAAGTATAACTTGGCGGGTCACATTAACTAAGAAGCCTATAATTCCCAGGAGTCCAGCACGCCGGTCATTTGATGGCCGTATATGGCCAACACTCGGCTAGTGCTTGCCACCATGCTCTCCCCAGGGAGGCGAGAGGGACGCCACCTAACAGTTGCTCAGGAAATAACATTTCGGCAGTAAATTTGAGAGTGTACTTACTCTGGGGTCCTTGTGTGGGTGAGCCCGGGGGACTGCGGGGGCGGCATGGTGGCGCTCACACCCTCCAGGTGCTCCATCACCACACGTGTGTGTGTCCTGCAGCAGCAGTAGCAGCAGCAGCAGGAGCAGCAGCAGGAGCAGCAGCAGCAGTAGCAGCAGCAGCAGCAGCAGCAGCAGTAGCAGCAGCAGCAGCAGCAGCAGCAGGAACAGCAGCAGGACCCGTCCTCACACTGGCCAGGCCGGGACGCCTCACTGCCCGCCAGCACACGCCTCCCAAACCTTAAACCTCACCATTAAACATCATAATAACTCGTAAAAGTGAAAATTAAGTGTATTTCAAATTAATATTATATTCAACACATCATATTTTACCACCTGATAATTCAATAATTTAAATGATTAGTTTTTTAATTCAACTGCCACCTAAATTTAAAATTAGCTTAAGGACGGTGAGTTGATGGTCATATTGATATTTTATGAGACCACACGACCACTGTGGGACCACACGACCACTGTGGGACCACACGACCACTGTGGGACCACACGACCACTGTGGGACCACACGACCACTGTGAGACCACACGACCACTGTGGACCACACGACCACTGTGGGACCACACGACCACTGTGGGACCACACGACCACTGTGGGACCACACGACCACTGTGGGACCACACGACCACTGTGGGACCACACGACCACTGTGGGACCACACGACCACTGTGGGACCACACGACCACTGTGGGACCACACGACCACTGTGTGGACCACACGACCACTGTGGGACCACACGACCACTGTGGGACCACACGACCACTGTGGGACCACACGACCACTGTGGGACCACACGACCACTGTGGGACCACACGACCACTGTGGGACCACACGACCACTGTGGGACCACACGACCACTGTGGGACCACACGACCACTGTGGGACCACACGACCACTGTGGGACCACACGACCACTGTGGGACCACACGACCACTGTGGGACCACACGACCACTGTGGGACCACACGACCACTGTGGGACCACACGACCACTGTGGGACCACACGACCACTGTGGGACCACACGACCACTGTGGGACCACACGACCACTGTGGGACCACACGACCACTGTGGGACCACACGACCACTGTGGGACCACACGACCACTGTGGGACCACACGACCACTGTGGGACCACACGACCACTGTGGGACCACACGACCACTGTGGGACCACACGACCACTGTGGGACCACACGACCACTGTGGGACCACACGACCACTGTGGGACCACACGACCACTGTGGGACCACACGACCACTGTGGGACCACACGACCACTGTGGGACCACACCACTGTGGGACCACACGACCACTGTGGGACCACACGACCACTGTGGGACCACACGACCACTGTGGGACCACACGACCACTGTGGGACCACACGACCACTGTGGGACCACACGACCACTGTGGGACCACACGACCACTGTGAGACCACACGACCACTGTGGGACCACACGACCACTGTGGGACCACACGACCACTGTGGGACCACACGACCACTGTGGGACCACACGACCACTGTGGGACCACACGACCACTGTGAGACCACACGACCACTGTGAGACCACACGACCACTGTGGGACCAAACGACCACTGTGGGACCACACGACCACTGTGGGACCACACGACCACTGTGGGACCACTCGACCACTGTGGGACCACACGACCACTGTGGGACCACACGACCACTGTGGGACCACACGACCACTGTGGGACCACTGTGGGACCACACGACCACTGTGGGACCACTGTGGGACGACCACTGTGGGACCACACGACCACTGTGGGACCACACGACCACTGTGGGACCACACGACCACTGTGGGACCACACGACCACTGTGGGACCACACGACCACTGTGGGACCACACGACCACTGTGGGACCACACGACCACTGTGGGACCACACGACCACTGTGGGACCACACGACCACTGTGGGACCACACGACCACTGTGGGACCACACGACCACTGTGGGACCACACGACCACTGTGGGACCACACGACCACTGTGGGACCACACGACCACTGTGGGACCACACGACCACTGTGGGACCACACGACCACTGTGGGACCACACGACCACTGTGGGACCACACGACCACTGTGGGACCACACGACCACTGTGGGACCACACGACCACTGTGGGACCACACGACCACTGTGGGACCACACGACCACTGTGGGACCACACGACCACTGTGGGACCACACGACCACTGTGAGACCACACGACCACTGTGGGACCACACGACCACTGTGGGACCACTCGACCACTGTGGGACCACACGACCACTGTGGGACCACACGACCACTGTGGGACCACACGACCACTGTGGGACCACACGACCACTGTGGGACCACACGACCACGACCACTGTGGGACCACACGACCACTGTGAGACCACACGACCACTGTGGGACCACACGACCACTGTGGGACCACTCGACCACTGTGGGACCACACGACCACTGTGGGACCACACGACCACTGTGGGACCACACGACCACTGTGAGACCACACGACCACTGTGGGACCACACGACCACTGTGAGACCACACGACCACTGTGGGACCACACGACCACTGTGGGACCACTCGACCACTGTGGGACCACACGACCACTGTGGGACCACACGACCACTGTGGGACCACACGACCACTGTGGGACCACACGACCACTGTGGGACCACACGACCACTGTGGGACCACACGACCACTGTGGGACCACACCACTGACCACACGACCACTGTGGGACCACACGACCACTGTGGGACCACACGACCACTGTGGGACCACACGACCACTGTGGGACCACACGACCACTGTGGGACCACACGACCACCACACGACCACTGTGAGACCACACGACCACTGTGGGACCACACGACCACTGTGGGACCACTCGACCACTGTGAGACCACACGACCACTGTGGGACCACACGACCACTGTGGGACCACACGACCACTGTGGGACCACACGACCACTGTGAGACCACACGACCACTGTGGGACCACACGACCACTGTGAGACCACACGACCACTGTGGGACCACACGACCACTGTGGGACCACACGACCACTGTGGGACGACCACACGACCACTGTGGGACCACACGACCACTGTGGGACCACACCACACGACCACTGTGGGACCACACGACCACTGTGGGACCACACGACCACTGTGGGACCACACGACCACTGTGGGACCACACGACCACTGTGGGACCACACGACCACTGTGGGACCACACGACCACTGTGGGACCACACGACCACTGTGGGACCACACGACCACTGTGGGACCACACGACCACTGTGGGACCACACGACCACTGTGGGACCACACGACCACTGTGGGACCACACGACCACTGTGGGACCACACGACCACTGTGGGACCACACGACCACTGTGAGACCACACGACCACTGTGGGACCACACGACCACTCGACCACTGTGGGACCACACGACCACTGTGGGACCACACGACCACTGTGGGACCACACGACCACTGTGGGACCACACGACCACTGTGGGACCACTCGACCACTGTGGGACCACACGACCACTGTGGGACCACACGACCACTGTGGGACCACACGACCACTGTGGGACCACACGACCACTGTGGGACCACACGACCACTGTGGGACCACACGACCACTGTGGGACCACACGACCACTGTGGGACCACACGACCACTGTGGGACCACACGACCACTGTGGGACCACACGACCACTGTGGGACCACACGACCACTGTGGGACCACACGACCACTGTGGGACCACACGACCACTGTGGGACCACACGACCACTGTGGGACCACACGACCACTGTGGACCACACGACCACACGACCACTGTGGGACCACACGACCACTGTGGGACCACACGACCACTGTGGGACCACACGACCACTGTGGGACCACTCGACCACTGTGGGACCACACGACCACTGTGGGACCACACGACCACTGTGGGACCACACGACCACTGTGGGACCACACGACCACTGTGGGACCACACGACCACTGTGGGACCACACGACCACTGTGGGACCACACGACCACTGTGGGACCACACGACCACTGTGGGACCACACGACCACTGTGGGACCACACGACCACTGTGGGACCACACGACCACTGTGGGACCACACGACCACTGTGGGACCACACGACCACTGTGGGACCACACGACCACTGTGGGACCACACGACCACTGTGGGACCACACGACCACTGTGGGACCACACGACCACTGTGGGACCACACGACCACTGTGGGACCACACGACCACTGTGGGACCACACGACCACTGTGGGACCACACGACCACTGTGGGACCACACGACCACTGTGGGACCACACGACCACTGTGGACCACACGACCACACCACACGACCACTGTGGGACCACTGTGGGACCACACGACCACTGTGGGACCACACGACCACTGACCACACGACCACTGTGGGACCACACGACCACTGTGGGACCACACGACCACTGTGGGACCACACGACCACTGTGGGACCACACGACCACTGTGGGACCACACGACCACTGTGGGACCACACGACCACTGTGGGACCACACGACCACTGTGGGACCACACGACCACTGTGGGACCACACGACCACTGTGGGACCACACGACCACTGTGGGACCACACGACCACTGTGGGACCACACGACCACTGTGGGACCACACGACCACTGTGGGACCACACGACCACTGTGGGACCACACGACCACTGTGGGACCACACGACCACTGTGGGACCACACGACCACTGTGGGACCACACGACCACTGTGGGACCACACGACCACTGTGGGACCACACGACCACTGTGGGACCACACGACCACTGTGGGACCACACGACCACTGTGGACCACACGACCACACCACACGACCACTGTGGGACCACTGTGGGACCACACGACCACTGTGGGACCACACGACCACTGTGGGACCACACGACCACTGTGGGACCACACGACCACTGTGGGACCACACGACCACTGTGGGACCACACGACCACTGTGGGACCACACGACCACTGTGGGACCACACGACCACT